TCTACTCCCATCCCCAGACATCGCAAGACGACACTTGGAGCCTGTCGAGCTGAATTATAGCAGATGCCAGGATTTCCCCCAAAAACGAGTGTATTTTGCACGGTCGATGCAAACTCAGTTTCAGTGATTACTCCGTGCTTGCTAGATAAATGCTGATAAAACAGGATTCAAAAATGCACCGATGTAAAGGCCACCAGGGCCAAAGGTGGTTATGTATGGCATCGAATAGCTCATTACTTCAAGCGCAACGTAATCTTCGTCCAAGTGAAAAGAACTACTTGTTTTACCATATCGACTCCGATATGCTTCAATCACGTTTAATTTTGATAATGGATTTACCAATTCTTCTTCATAAGATCGTGGCAAAAAGAAACCCTGCAAAATAAAATATATCCCTCAAGAGCCAGATTATTTTTTATTGGACTGAGTTTTTTTAGCGAAATTTTGATGTTACGAATTTAGAGCATTTTTTGAAAAGAAAAATTGAGAAACGTCTGTTTTCCTTCGGTTTTTCTTGCCAATTCTTGTATCAGATAGATTAAAATCTTACATAGTCATTCCTGGTCTAGAAATTACTTCGGTGCACCAATGTGCACTTTTTTCGCTTCACACACATATCTAGTTTATTTGAACCGAGCCTAATTCTCAACTGAACAAGTGTAGCGCACTGTCTTCTCGAAGTGCTTCTGGCGTTTGGAATAATGCCAGGCCTTAACATTACCTTTTACAGTATCATGAAGTGGTACCTAAGCTGGAATTTTCTGTCAGATCAGAAATCACTCTAACCTAATAAACATTGGGCATAAGAAAAATATTTGAAACATTTTTGCTAATTGTACCATTAGCTTTTTTCGAAATTTCATGTTTTTATTAGAGAGGGAAACGACTGTTTTTTGTTTACTCCACATGTCTCTCCCTCCCCCAGCCGTTGCATACTTAGAATAAATGCTCGGAATTTTGAGGAGAAATATGTACAAAATTTGGAGGTTGTTCGACTGCACATTTTTACGCGTATCTTTCGGCCAAAAAGTAAGAAAAAGCGGGTGATATCCGTTAACTGCGATTGATGTCAATGCCAACCGTGCTTTCAGGAAATTTGGGAAGCGGGAGTGGTTGTAATTTTATAGCTGAAAAGCGAAAGTGCTCAAAATCAGGAACAGATATGAAACGATGAAAAAGCTGAATTATCCGACATCATGAACAATGAGTAGTCGTCCCTGAGCATACAGCCTATTCATTCGGTGTGTCTGACTCGCTATGTCCCCGTACCAATATAACAGATCCAAGTAATATCCTTCGCTGTAAACGTTTTCGAGTGGCGGTTGAAACAACGTGTAATCTTCGGCCTGCAATTAATACAATATTATTACAGTATCCCATCAAAACGATGACAGTGAAAACTGATTTCGACCTTCCTGAGTGGATAGTGCCATTAGCAGATGCAGTAATAAAGCACGAATAACACAGTGAGAGGTTTACCCTGTAGGCTTTTAAGCAAAATATTTTTAATTGATAGGTTCTTCCGAATGTACCGGAAAAAAAACTTGCCAATCAAATTTGTCTAGTATAAAGCCTAATTTTTCTAGAACAAGTACCAGCACCGTTCGGATAGTCAGTATGGGATTCCCCTGTTAATGGAAGTTACTGAGGTGCTTCCATGTGCATGGTGCAGCTGTGCTAGACCTTTCGATCCTGAACGTATTTTGAAATAAGAATAAAAGAGAAAATAATATTAAGGGGTTAGTAAAAGTGTTCAATGACTTGTTCAAAATACCTAAGGCCACCCAAGCGTTCGATTCCTAGGTAGCACAAGTCTAGCTGTAGACAAAAAAAGTAAGACACACTGCCCTCGTCTGGAAGCAGTGACGTCTTGCATGCCGATCATGTGGCAAAGGGCTGCTGCTTAATATTATTATAAACAGACCTTTAAAATTCATACCGCAGTAAAAGAAATAGAAGCGTATTTTGAAATAAGAATAAAAGAGAAAATAATAATAAGGGGTTAGTAAAAGTAGTGAATTAATTAAAATTATTATAATGGTAAAAAATGTTTCGGTCCAATAAGTCGTATAAAAAAAATAACTTCCCAGTCCTCGCTCTTTTGGAGTTGGAACACTCATGTCGACGGACGCAAAGACATATCGACATACAAAAAAATGTACTCACAAACCGGCATAGCATTGCTCTAATGTGCATTTTT